AGGGCACCCCGCGGGCACCGAGTCTGTCCCGGAGGCGGCCGCCCACGGCGCCGCCGCCCCGGAGCGCACCCCGGGCCGGACGATGTGGGTGTTTGGTTACGGCTCGCTGATCTGGAAGGTGGACTTCCCCTACCAGGACAGGCTGGTCGGGTACATCACGGACTACAGCCGGCGCTTCTGGCAGGGCAGCACCGACCACCGCGGGGTCCCGGGCAAGGTAAGCACCCCCGGCCGCCGCGGGAGCGCCAGGGCCGCAGCCCCCGACCCACGCCTGCTTCCGACGCGGCTGGGCGCACTCCCGAAGGGGTTGCACCGCCTCAGGGGTGGAGCTTGGTTCTCGGGAGCAGCAGAAGCACGGCAAGTGCGCCGAGCCGCAGGGGAGATGAACCCTGCTGTCCCCGTGCACGGAAGTGGTAAAATTAACCTGCAGACTCGGGCCGTAGCAGTGAGGTGTTCATTCTAACAGTGGCTTGAGTTTAAACCTGCGTGCTACGGTCTCTTCGCATCTTTCCAATGATTTTATTTGTGACACTTAAGATCACAGAACTACTTTCCAAATTTATCTCCGGTTATCACGGTAACATGGGCAGCTCTGGTTATCAAGTACTAAGTGATGTTCTCTGTTGTGAGTAAGAGCACCATGGAAAGGGGAAGAGACTAAGGTTTTAAAATAGTCTGCACCTACGCATAAGACAGAGCATTTGAAATCATAAAAAGAACCGGAGTTCGAAGCCATTCCACTTCAACGAGAGTTGGTCCTTTGAGAAGCTGGCTCTGAGACAGGGTACTGGCCTAGGAACTTGATTGGAACTAGGGGATGTGGCCTAGGCGATGCACTGATTAGCCAGGAAAAACATCACAGCCAAAGTGTCTCCAAGAAGAAACATCGTTCAAGACTTTAAAGAGCTACCCTAAATAAAAGCCCTTTTGAGTCGTCAGTTTTGAAATGAACACTGACAAATGCCATTCTGAAAAAAAACAAGCCTTAGCTCAGGCTGCCATTTTTATGGCCAACTATTGATATTAAATATGTATTGTGGTTATAATAGCTTATTTTACTATGCTAGGCTTAACCAAAATGCATGTTCGTTACACAGCACACTGAGATACTTACACCTTTAAACAGACAAGTTATCTAATACAACAATCCGTGAGTCTTTAAAAGGAGAAGAGCGCTATAAAAGCCAGTATGATGTTGTACTTAAATTTACTGAAATATAGGAGGCGGGGCTGCACTGGCTAACAGCTTTACATTTTTATTTAAAGACTCCATCTTAGCAAATTAAGTGAAAAACCAATACTACACATTTTGCAACTATAGGGTTCTGTTAAAAAAAAAAAAACAAACTAGAAAAGACATCGCATTTTTTACTTTTTTTTTTATTAAAATAGATTGCCAGCTTTACGTAAACAGTAGCTATCAGACAAATAATACAGAAGACTTCAGAAATATCCAGCAAATAAGAATTACTTAGATACTGTTTAGTTGTTTTTTACTGCAACATATACTCAAATGAGTCATCAGAGTGTCCTCCTCAATAACACACACATTATATTCCTCTCCACAGTGTAAGGGATGTGTGGAGAAAAACTGGCCCTACACGATTAAATTATGCCTGCTTTGCAGCTGCACGCATCTCATTTATATATCACAAAACTGGCAGTTTCTCACCAAGGATTTTATTTAAATATGAAAGATTTTTTGCACAAATTAAAAGTCACAAGCCCAAAAAAGGAAGCGTGTTCATGGAGAGGCAGTGTGAGCAGACACATTGCTAACACCCAGTGAGTGAGACACGGTCCTGAGTCCGCCCCGTGCTCCTCTAACACCACGGGCCGGAAAGGTCCCTCGGGTTTCACCGCTCCCCCACAAAAAGACCGAAGCGCATTTACACACTTACATTCTCAGTAACATCTATTTTTAAGGACAAAGAGTTGAAGTTTTAGAAAATACTTGCAAGTAAATTTATCGGCAGTCCTCGTTGTATCAGCCATTAGCAAGCTGGCACGAGAGTTTAGTTTTTTCCACTTACTTCCACATATTCCTTGCTTTATTCCACCTGCCACCACACAACTCCTTGGGAAGTGCTGGAGGAGAAGTGAATAAAGGGAGCAGTGGAAGGCTAGGAGTTGCTAAAGGGGCCTGGGAGTGAGCCAAAACTAAGGAAGTGGGCAGACCATGTGCAGTGTAAACAAAAGAGGGAAGGGCATTCAACACAAGGCACCTGTGTTTCAGAAGACAGCGGTATTTCTTTTTTGTTTGTTTAGCTTTTTGGTTGGTTTGTTGAGACAGGGTCTTGCTGTATAGGAAGTACAGGCTGGCCTCTGACTCTCGGTGATCCTCCTGCCTCAGGAGGCTTAAGCACTCTCTCGAGTGCTGGGATTACAGGTGTGCACCACCATGCCCAGTAACAATAGGAATATTTCTAAGAATGATTTAACAATTCAGAACATCTTTGGAGAAAAATGGAAAGAAATGAGGTTTGTAGAAAGAAATGGGTTCGTTAAACTAATGAATTTCAATTCCATCCTGTAGAATACCACAACCTTGAAAAATTCAGTCAGGAAGTCATTGTGGGCACAAGTAGAGAACTGAAGGGAAAAAGCAGCGGCAGGCAGAGGAATCCCTAAGGTCACGAAAGGATAAAGGGGAACCAGATTTCAAAAGGCAGAACTCTACGACAGTGACTTTGTTATTTATATAGATGAAGACAGAAAGGGACCGGTAACAGAGGTGACAGGAACTATCTGAATGGGTTAGGCTCGCTGTGCAGGCACGGCACACAGGTATTGTGGCTCGCAACCTGACACCCTGCTAATGTTAACGTGCCAGTAGGTACCTACCCTTTGGCACAGGGTAATAACTGAACACCGCAGCTGCTATCACTGGTTTCAATCACCTTTGTGACTGAAATGATGGAACGTTCCAATTCTGGATTTTGTTGAAGCGTTTCAGTATGAACTCCAAAACAGTGTAACGTATTGTGACAAATGCACATCCTCAGGCTCCCCATGTAAAAAATCACACTGGAGGTGTGGCCTAGCGGTGTTCAAGTCCTCCAGGTAATTTGATCAAAGTGTGAAACTACTTCCTTATAGGATCACACCCTACAGTGTTTATTTCCTTCCCCTAATAAAACGGTTAACAATGTTTCTTCCTAAGAGGAAAACCAGAACTTTTACAATTGATGCTTCCACCATTTATCTTTTACTTCACCTGAGCCTTAGTCACTGCAGTATTTTTTAATGTATCTATTTTAAAGGACATAATACACCCAGTTTATAGAAAAGGATGGAAGCCTGTTTTGAAAAGGCCACTGTAGTTTGGATAAGGAAGATTTTAACTCACTTTAAACCTTATCATAAAAAGTATTTTTTAAAGTGCCTCTTAGAGAAAATGTAGTTAAAATATTCCATGCCAGTAAGTCATAATGCTCACTTAATGAACTTTACTTCAGCAAAAAAATTTTGTCTTTTTTTTAACCAGCCTGGAAGAGTCGTGACTCTTGTTGAAGATCCTGGGGTATGTTATAATTATTCCTTTTTATACAGTCTTTAACTGTATGAAATGTTGAGATATTTCATTTTAATAATCAGTGGAATTTTATTAATAGTCATCAAACGATTTGAACTACACTGTCTAGCACGCTTCTCTGTATGTGTTGAGGGCTTCCCCCCCCCCTTTGTTCATGGAAAATCAACTAGTGGGAAAAGTTAGAATGCAAAATGCAAGGTAACAACAGCTAAATGACATGTACTTTTGCTTTTGTGGACTTCTAAAAACGCGTTTGCTGACTGAGAATTTGGTGGTTCCCTTGGACATTAATGGAAGTGTTCCCTAGTTAACCAGGCTACCACTGAGAATCAAATGGATCCCTGAAAGCTCTCTTTATATTTGCATAAGTCTGATATCCTCAGTATAAAACTAGAGTTAGGAATTCTCACTTTCTATATTGCCTACTTTTATTAATAGAACTCGTTTTTTAAACAGGCAGGAAGCACCAAGAAACAGATATTGACAATGTTTGGGGTTTGGTTTTTTTTTTTTCTTTTCTGTGCGCTCACTGCTAGGGATTCAACCCTGAGCCTTCACATTGAGTTATACTCCCAGCCCTTTTTACTTTAAAACAGGGTCTCATTAGGCAGGCATGGTAGCACACGCCTGTAACACCAGCACTCAAGAGGCTGAGGCAGGAGGATCTCTGTGAATTCAAGGCCAGCCTAGGCTATACAAGGAGATCCTGTCTCAAAAAAAAAAAGACAGGGTCTCACTAAGTTGCCCTGGCTGAGCTCAAACTTGGGATCCTCCTGCCTCAGTCACCCAGAGTCCTGGAATTACAGGTGTGCACCACCATGCCTGGCTCTTCATTTCTTAAATATTTTTAATTATTTTATTGCTGTACAGATTTAAATTTCTTTTTTTCTTCCAGTACCAGGAATCGAACTCACAATCTTGCGCTTGCCACACAGGCGCTTTGTTGCTAAGCTAAATCCGTAGCCCCTAGATTTAAATTTTTATATTGTGAAATTAAAGAGGTAACTTTGGACAGGACTTTGATACACAAAAATCAAGCAGCTAGCAGTAACAGTTTATTTTTTATTTTTTTTTTTTTGGTTTGTTTTTTTCCAGTACCGGAAATCGAACTTATGACCTTGCACTTGCAAGGCAGGCGCTGTGCCGCTGAGCTAAATCCCCAGCCCCAGTAACAGTTTAATAATGGTGCAGATTAAGAAATGCTTTCATAGCTTCAAATTGGTTACTATAACTCCTACTCAAACAGTTAAACAAATGACACTCTCCATAGAATTTCTTGGGTTTTTCATTTGCTTCTATACAGTTTCTTAATGACCAAATGAAAACAGGGTATTTTCCATTTCATCTCGTTAGCTTAGCATTTTGTTACCACTGCTCTTTCTTTCTTGAGACAAGGTCTTGCTCTGTGGCCCAGGCTAGCTTGAACTTGCTGTATACAGCCCAGGCCAGCCTCAGATTTGTACTCTCCCGCCTCTGTCTCCCAACTGCTAGGACTGTAAGCATGTGCTAACACCCCAGAGCAATTTAGAATTTTTCTAAAAGATAGACATGTTGTATTTGTAACAAAATATTATTCAAGCACAAAAATTTTAAATGGTTTCCTTTACTGTTTAGTATGTACCTCCTCAGTGTGTTTTTAAGTGAAGTAAAACTGCACTGACTTCTAGAAACTACAGGTTTTTTTCTTAGATCAGTGTAACCGATCTTCACTATTTCAATTAGCCTTATAAATACTAAATAATTCCTATTTTTTAACAGGGATGTGTATGGGGCGTGGCTTACAAACTCCCAGCAGGAAAAGAAGAAGAAGTAAAAGCATCCCTTGACTTCAGAGAGAAAGGAGGCTACAGAACCATAACCGTCATTTTTTATCCAAAAGATCCCACAACAGAACCATTCACAGTCTTGCTATATATTGGAACATGTGATAATCCTAATTATCTTGGTCCTGCACCTCTGGAAGACATTGCTGAACAAATTTTTAATGCAGCTGGTCCAAGTGGAAGAAATACAGAATACCTTTTTGAACTTGCAAATTCTCTTAGAAGCCTTGTGCCAGAAGATGCTGATGAGCACCTTTTCTCGTTGGAAAAATTAGTAAAGGAACGTTTAGAAGAAAAGTAGACCCTCAACTGCACACAGATGTAGACCTAATAACTGACTTTGCCAAACAAGCAAAGCTTTCCATCTTCAGAGTAACTTCAGTGCACAGTGGCAATGTGTTTACTTGAAGATATTTTCAATGTTAAAAGTCAAGATACCATCTAGCTGAAGAGCTGAACTGCAAGTGTCCTGAAACACAATGAAAAGACTGGCATATAAAGAAAAAAATTCAAGTTCTAATAATATGAATTCCTAACTACGTGATATTAAACACTTGCTCATTACAAGTGAGTTCTTTAGAAATATACACAAAAGGACTCAGTTTGGTTTGTGTTTTTATTAGAATAAAAATATGACTTAAATTATTTAGAGAATTAAACCAAAGAAATTAGTAAGATTTATACCTTCAAGATTTTCCTATAAAATTTATAACCACAGTTTAAAATACAAACATCAAATGTATAGTTAGAAATATATGGTAATATAAACAAAATTTTAGCCTTGATTATGAATTTTGTTGTTAATGTATTAAGTAAGACTTTCAAACTCAGGCCAAAAATGGTACTGTTTAGGGGCTGGGAATTTAGCTCAGCGGCACAGCGCCTGCCTGGCAAGCGTGAGGTCGTGAGTTCCATTCCCGGTACCGGAAAAAAAACAAAAACACAAAAAATGGTATTGTTTAACACAAAAATTTCTTTGGAGTGATAATGTGCTATACTGCTCCTTTTTAAAATAAATGCACTGTACTACATAAATAAAACATTAAAGAGCACAAAGTACATTATATAAATCAGATCCACTAACATCATTCATTTTTACGTTATATTAAAACTTTTTAAAAAAGATGTAATTTCTGACAATTATAGGTTAGCAGAACTAAGTTTTAAAATAAAAAGTGGCATTCTCTGATTATGTTCTAATGCAGTTTTTTCTTTCTCATACCTTGTCACCTAAGAGTATAAACTGTACAGTGTACTCAACCAGGAAACAAATTCTTGTATTATTAACTCATGTAGAATTAGCCTTGACTCAAGATAATCAGACTATTCCTAATCGTGATTTCTTTCTCAATAGGAAATAAGGTCTCTCTAGAATCTTTCAAAATTAAATCAGTATCAAAAAAAATAATCAGTATCATGTTAAATCTCCTATGACACTTATTAAAACTCTTGAACTCCAGGCACGACTAATAATTAGTACCAGTTGTCCATGTAACACTGTCCTATGTAGTAGGAACACTTGTCCTTTTCCTGTTTTTCTTTCAGCCCCTTCCTTAGTAATTTACTTGGCTGTGTAACTACTTTAAATATTTTTCAACAGTTTCAGTATTTAGTTTTCCCGAAGGCATTTCACTTGACTAGTACTACAGAAATTATTAAATATTCATTGGTAAATATAAGGATGCACTAGGCACTTTACATACAGAGGCATTCTGGATAACTCCTCTGAGCTTGCTTTCATAGTAATTTTCACTGTTACACATTTAATGAATGGCAGAAATCCAGGTCTCTCTCACTTCAATGCACAAGATCCTCCCACAGTATGCTTAACTTGAACTTAACCATTTTCACTACCCTGAAGTCTTCCCCAGGAGGGAAACAACATTAACATTTTTCTGTAATGAAATAGTATGTACTTTGTTACATAAAGATGTTAAACTTTACTAGCTAGGTGTTCAGTTTCAGAAATTCAATAAAAGTATGAGTTTAAACCCTGTCTGTCCGTTTGTTTGTTTGTGACAGAGTCCCACTGTGTAGTTCAGGCTGGCCTTGAACTCACAGTGATCCTCCTGCTTCAGCCTCCTGAGTGTGGGGCTTCTAGGTGTGTCTCCATGCCCAGCCTAAACCCTATATTTAGAAAAGCTATTTAATACAAATCTCCAATGAAGTTTACTTTTCAAGCCGCCTCCTATTTACACCCCAATTCTAGGGACTGAACGCAGGGCCCCTTGCCTATTTGGACCACTCAACTGCTGAGTCACATCTCCAGGCCGCTTGTTAAAGTGGATCTTTGTAGACCTACTCCTGTCCTGGACCAAGACAGTTCTTTTCAGCACTCCCCAAACAACATACTCACTTCTCCTGTCTAGCACCTAAGTCCATCATGTACACCTCCATACCTAAAGAACTGGGCTGTGACGATGTCCTCTATATAAAAACTGAATGTGAACCAATCTGTTAAAACTGATTTCTAAAGTTTGACTACTGTCTATTAATAAGCATCTCATCTTAAAAATTATGAAGTACCTCAAATGCACAGTGTACATCCTTGAAAGTACGCAGAGGTGTATGCTGGGTGTTCCTTTCGTTTCTTCTGAGACAGGGTCTCACTAAGTTGCTGAAGTGCACAGGCTGAACTCTAGCTTGCCATCCGGCCTCAGCCTCCCTGCAGCGAGTACAGACATGTACTGTCATGTCTGGTTTTAACCCTAACTTACGTAGAACATTACACAATGCCAGGCAGAATGCACAATAAATATTATCTAATACTAATTTTCAGCACAGAGTCCCACGGGTTCATTATTCAAGAGCCACAAGGAGTACAAATTGCCTACAGTTTAAGAACTGTATTTGATTCACCAGCTATTTTTCAAAATCTTCTAGTCAATACTTCTCATTATATTAACTTTATCTTTTCTATAACATCAATATTCTCACAGGGCGTGGCGGTGCACGCCTGTAACCCCAGCACTTGAGAGGCTGAGGCAGGAGAACTGCCATAGTTCGAGGCCAGCCTGGGCTACACAAGCAAGGTCAAGGCCAGCCTGCACTACATACTGAAACCCTGTCTAGAAAAGTAAAGTGTATTCTTTGAAGTTATAACTTAGGACAATACTCTTAGTAAGTATCTATCCCTATCTCCTGAGCAATTACTGTATCTATCACTGTAAGCATCACAGTCCTACATGCAACTCTGTAAATTCCAAAATTCACAGCGATCCTCGTGCCTGTCTCCCGAGTACTGGGATTACAGTAATGAACTGCTATACCTGGCTTTAACAGTCAGCGTCTGTGTATTCCTCAAATTCTGCACTCACTCTATGCATATGTTAAGAACTCAAAAATAGTGGCACAATTTTTTTTTTTTTTGGTTTTTCTTCCGGAACCGGGAATCGAACTCACGACCTTGCACTTGCCAGGCAGGCGCTGTGCCGCTGAGCTAAATCCCCAGCCCACAATTTTTAATCCTATGGCTAATCTGTCAAAAGAATTGTAACTCTTCCAAAGACAACTAATATTACACTTCCATATGTCTAATTTATGTAATAAAAATTGACTTTAGCTTTCTTGAATTTCAGTGTTTTTGCATTCCTAACAATTTCCCTTCTAAAATGCACTTTACTATCATTCACTATCATTTTCTCCATTGTTTTATTTAACCATATTGAACCTCTTCTTCATAAATGGTTTGCCCAAACACGATGTTTGTAATGGGAAATACCACCACTTCACCCTACAATTTTCCTTATTCCAGCCTTCTGATTCTTCACAATGTTTTAAACATCAATGTTCCACTTCCTTAATAACTTACCTTTTTTTTTGTACCAAGAATTGAAATCAGGGGGCTGGGGATTTAGCTCAGCGGCACAGCGTCTGCCTGGCAAGCCCGAGGTCGTGAGTTCAATTTCCGGTACCGGAAAAAAAACAAACAAAAAAATTGAAGTCAGGACTTTGTGCTTGCCAGGCAGGCGCTGTGCCGCTAAGCTATCTTCCCGGCCCCTTACTAACTTATCTTAATACGTGTCCAGTCCAACTTTATCCTACTGTACTCCACCAGTCACTGCAGCCTCAAATCTCAAACAACTACTTCCTGATTCAACCCAAAGGTGTTTCTTCCTCTCTTTACCATTCTGATGTATCAGACACTAGTGACCAAGTTACAGTGTCACTGAGATCAAATGGCACAATATTTCATTGTATTTGCATTTACAACTCTTTATTCCTTATCAGCTTAGGCTTCAGTTACCACTTTTACATAAGATTCCCATCTCTAGTCTCCTCTCCCAACCTCTTTACAACGGATACACTAAGGCCTCTCCAGTTGCGCTACACAAGCATGGAAACAGAATTTTCAAAAGGCATTGCAGCCTTGGGTAATTTTGATTATGTTGTAAAACTGCATTTTCTTAAAATTATAATTTGTCTCCATTTCACCTTTTTTCTCTTGTGTTTCAAAGGGTGTCACATAGAAATTTTTTTTGAAACAGGGTCTCTCTATGGAGCTCAGGCTGGCCTCAAAAATTCTGACTCAGCCTCCAAATACTGGGATTGCAGGTGTGCACTACCAAGCCCAGCCTACTCCTCACTTTCTTACTATTTATTTCCTGAACCCCAGCTTTGACTGAGCACACCTTCTCAGGACACTTCTCTTCCTTTCCTTATTTTCATTAGCTCAGCTCAGCCAGTACCATGGCTCAACTACATTTACATGCCAATAACCCCAAAATTTATACCTCCAGCCCTGACTTTCTCTCACCTCTGAACCTCATTTACTTAACTAACCTGTTAGTTCCACTTGCCTGTCCAAATAACTTTTTTTTTTTTTTTTTGGCTTTTCTCCGGTACCGGGAACTGAACTCATGACCTTGCGCTTGCCAGGCAGGCGCTTTGCCGCTGAGCTAAATCCCCAGCCACCCCAAATAACTTTTAAAGGTTAACATGTCCAATATAGAAGCCTGATTCAAAACTTACTACTATTCCTGGGTATGGAGGCTCACGCCTGCAATCCCAGCACTTGGGAGGCTGAGGCAAGAGGACTGCTGTGAGTTCAGCCTGGGATACATAGTAAACTCAAGGCCAGCCTTAACTACATAGGGAGACACTGTCTCAAAATCAAAACAAAACAAAAACAAGAAAGTTGTTATTATTAATCTACATATAAATAAAAAACTAAAAGCATGTGTGCCACAACTGGGTAATCCAGGAGACTACTGTAGAATTCTTGTAACTTTTATATACCTAAAATTATTTCAAAATAAAAAAGTGAAACAAAAATGCTCAATTATCATCAGACCATACTCTGTTCCTTTATCTTTTTCTTCCCTCCTTCAGTGAACTGCACCACCAATTGCTCATGAAAAAGTATGTAGACATTACCACTGAGTTACCCCTGGACATCACATCTACCCCCCAGTAAGTTCCAGATGCTCTACCTGAAGAATATTCTACAACAGGCTACTCTTTCTCTATCACCACTGCTACCAGCTTTCTAAACATTCTCCCTGTTGCCACACTTGGCCTGTATTCGTTTTCTAGGGCTACTCTAACGAATTTCCTAAAATGAATAGCTTTAAACAAGAGACACTGCTGGCCACAGGAGCCCATGCCTGTAATACCACCCCTCTGGAAAGCAAAGGCAGAAGTGTAGCAAAATTTTGGCCAACTGGGCAACTTAGTGACTTAGCGAGACTATCTCAAAATAAAAAATAAAATAAATTTTTAAAATTTTGAAACAAGGTCTCACGATGTAGTTCCAGCTGTCCTTGAACTATGTAGCCTAGGCCGGCCTTGAACTCACAGCAGTCCTCTTGCCTCAGCCTCCCAAGTCCTAGGATGACAAGCACGCACCATCATGCCCAGCTCAAATTTAAATTTTAAAAGGAAAAGAGGATGCAGCTCAATGCAAAAGCTCTGGGTTCAATCACCAGCAATGCAAACAACAACAACAAAAACAAACTGATCCTCTCACAGTTGTGGCCAGCAGAAGTCCAAAATAAAGGTGGCAGGCAAGGCCACACTCTAGGAGAAACCTTCCTTCTCCTCTGCCTGCAGTGCTGCTGGTACTCCTTCGTGCTCCTTGGCTGGTACATGGATCACTCCAATCTTGCCTCCTACTCCACAGACCATCCTCCCCGGATGTCTGTGTCTGAATTTCTTTCTTCTAAAGACGTCAGACATGGATGAAGGGTCCTCCCTGACTCAGTGTGACCTCATCTCAACTGGAATGACATCTGTAAATATCCTATGTCCAAGTAAATTCACACCCGGGCTCTGGGGGTGAGGACTTCAACAAACCTTTCTGGGGAATGTAACACCTCCTAGAACCGATTTCCCACACCACGGTGACCTTCACAAATGTGCAGCAAGCCCCATGTCTCCTGTCTGTACGGCTAGGTCCAAGGTGCTCTCGGGCCTCTCAAACGTCATCCCTTCTCATGCTCCTCTCACTCCAGCCACACCGGCCTTTCTATCCCCCAACAGGACAACATCCCTGCCTCGGGGCCTCTGACTGGAAATTCCTATGTGACACCCTTTGAAACAGAAGAGGAAAAAAGGTGAAACAGAGACAAATTATAATTTTAAAAAAATGCAGCTTTACAGCATAATCAAAATTACCCAAGGCTGCAATGCCTTTTGAACTCTAGGCCTGTTTTTCCAAGTCTCAGCACTCCTAAACTCCCAAGAATCTTCAAGTTACCGAAAGTGTGTAAATTGTACTTGTTTCTCTTTAGCTCTTATAACCCCACAAATTGAGGCCACAGACTATCACCCTCAAGGAAACAGGTCACATTATAAACTGGGAACCATCCCTCTAAACTTCAAACACATGCAAATACTTTGCATTTTAACTAAAGTTAGTTTTTGCTTTAGTTCACTAATGACTAAGCTGACAGACACTAAGTAAATGACTACTCAAAAGACAAAACATCCTGGACTATGTGTCTTCAGGATACTTGAGCACCAATAAATACCTTCAACCCCTGGCCACAGCACACCTCACCCCTCGAGTACCCACACGCTTTCCCTTGGAGTGTGTACTTCTCTGCTTCTGCCTATTCTGCTTATACCTCACACTGACACATCCTGAAATGCTTTTCTGCAAGGGAAGAGTCAAGAACTTGCTCCAGCCACGTGGAGGCCTTTAGAAAGGATCTCCTTGAACCCTGTCTGGTGCTGATGCTTTCTCATCATTCTCATCATTCAAGTCAATGCTCAAAGGTTAACTGGGCATGATGGGGGCATGCCTATAATCCCAGCACAGCGGTGGAAGAGGTAGGACCATCTTCAAACCCACGGAGGGCAATATAGGGACACCCAGCCTCAAAATAAAAAAAATACAAAGGGCTGGGGATGAAGCTCAGCATAAAGGCCTTGGCTTTAATCCCCACTACCACACCCCAAACAAAAAGCTGAAGTGTTACTTCCTCACACAACCCTACCCCGACCATCTACCAAAAGCAACATATCCCATGGGTAGTCTCTTGAAAAAAACTCTAGTTCTCTGTGGCATTTACTGGTACCAGAAACTAGTTTGTCAACAAGTGTTATCCTCACTTGAACACAACTCCACTCAAATCATTCAATTACTGTAGGCCCAGCGGCTAAAATGGCCATAAAAAACTTTTTCATTTTTATTAGTCAAATACTGTATGCCTCTTTTCCTTCATGCCTTTCATTAGGTTTGGCACAAGAGAGACACAGAACAAAGATAAAAAGTCTTTATTGCCAGCCACAGGAGGGCTGCTAAAGAGACACAAGGACTCACTGAAGAGTGAAGCCTGCAGTCAGAGAATATACTGGGCTGGGCAGGGGGTGGAATTTATATGGGTGGTCACAGTGACATAACAGACGCTGATTGGTTGGCACATGCAAGGAAACAGGAAGTTGTAATCAGACTAGAAGGAAGGCGGCAGAAGTCAGTCTGAGACATACTGTTGTTTTTCAGCACTGTGCCATGCTGGATCGCAGCCATGACTTGGCAGGATTTTATATGGGCAAAAACCCATCATTTCCGTCTTTCGGTTGTCAGGGGACAACTCTCTTAAGCTGCCTCCTGCTGATAGTGGGCCTGGTCATGACGGGGGGGCCACAAGATATACCCATACAGAAACTGGTGCCAGGGGTCTCAGCCAGGACAAGGAGCTCACTGGCATGGACAATGCAAAGCCTAGATTGGAAAAACCTCAGAAAGTTTAAAAACACAGGGTGTTGTAAGTAGAAGGTTTATTCTCATGGTTTGCAGGCCCAGGAAAGGAAGGAGGAGAAGGGCCCATGATCCCAAGGCGTTATCCCACCACGACCACGATGAAGAAGGGTACATGTAACCCAAATGGTGGTGGTTTTTCTCGAGGTAGTTGCACACTTTTTAACCTTCTTCGTAACAATTCCAGATTCGTTTACAAAGTAGCAGCATTGCTCTTCCAGCAGAGCGCAGGTCTCTCCTTCTTTGGCCGTGAGAACATCTAGAGCTCAGCGATTCTGGAGTAAGCACTGCAAGACTATCTGATTTTGGAGTGAATGAACAGATGTTGTTATGTCCATTTGTGGGTGGAGCTCTAGAGAAAGTTGGTGGCAGAGATGGGTGGCTGTACCTGTTCCCCCTCCCCCAAGGCCAGCTCCAAGGGCAGAGAGACTGCCTATGCCAATAAGGATGGGAACATGGACGCCCTTCTTTTAAGTGAGATGTGTGCCTTGGGATTGTGATAAAAGGGATGACCCTATGGCTTTCTGAGAGTTTAATGCTAGGGCTGGGGCAGAAAGGATTAGGGTGCAAGACCCTGTCCAGTGGGGAGGAAGACACGTGTAAGCCCCCTTTAGGCAGCCTATAAGCCACCCATGGAGTGGGCAGATGGCCTTGTCCTGTTCAGGGTGGTAGTGAGTGCAGTGGGGAAGATTCCCATCTGGTGAGAGTTGTTTTGAGACTGTGACAGCAGACAGGTAAGGTTCGCTGGCGAGTGATGAGGATTGTAAATAGGGGGCCTACTAAGGCTGGGTTAGGTGGGTAAGATAGGAGGGTAAGATAGACAAGAGGCATTCCGGTGTGTAGGAGCGGCCATATATAGATCCTGTCGGTATGGGGCACACAGCCAACACTGAGCAAGGTCTGAGTGTGAAAGAGTGTCACATGCATGTAAGAAGAGTTGGGGAATGGGAAGATGGTTTTTGGGTGAGCTGATAGGAGGTTGTGCAGTAGGAGTTATCGATGCTTCAAGGATGGGAGGTGGGGCTACTGGTCGAGCCCTCAGAGTGAGAAAATTACCTTCTGGTCTGTCCATGCCTACGTTGTAGAAGAGAAGACCCCAGGCTTTTCCCATGAGGTAATGAGGGTGAGTTGCACTCCAGATGGTCAGTTCTACTTTTCCTCTACCTTTCTACCAGGTCAAGATGTGGGAGATCTGTTTAAACACTTCTCTGTTGGGGTAAGTTCCTATGTCTCCCAACCCCAGGTATCAACATAAAACCAATAAACATTGACACATTCATTGCTGTTGGCAAAGCATGGGGCCGGGGGTTAAAACTAAGCCGCTGACCTGACAGCAGAGGTCATATTTGCAATTAGCCATATACCTGTCAGAGGTCTGAGTATACGGCCTCAGGTGACAGCAGGGAATGACAAATCAAAAAGTGGAATTAAGGGGGGTAAAGTTGGCTGAGGCAAACATTCCCCCATCAGTTAAAGTAAGGGTAATGATGTAAGTGGAGGGTGGTGTTGGTCTCAGAGCCAACTGAAAAATAAGCGAAACAGAGTATGAGGGCAGAAAAACGAGACGTATTTGTGAGGTTTAGGGCAAGCAAAGAAGAGTGGATAGTCTACAGACTGTTACTCCGTAGAAAAGTGTAAAAACTATCTTTTGTGGAATTTTGAAAGTCCTCTGGGAAACAATCTAAAGTCCATCCGCAAGTGCAAGAGTCAGCAAAACAAAGGGTATTAGGAACACCACAGGATAGCAACACGTGAGTTAACTCAGAAGTTTACCAGGGACTTCGGTGAGGCAGAGACGAGTGAGGCGCAGGAGGTGTGATGACCACTCTGGTGATGGTAGCTTACTCTCAGAGGTAAGGGGCTGAAATGATGAGGTGAGTGTACTGTGATATATTGTCCTAAAGTGAACTGTTTCTCCTCCCACGTGAAGATGGCTGTTGCACCAAGCGCTCAGAGACAAGCAGCCCATCTGCATACCATGTTATCTACTTGTTTTGAGAGGTATGCTACTGCTTCGAATGAAGGTCCCTTCTGGTATCCTAAGACTCCCACAGCATGTATCCCTGAAAGGAAATGTATAGAGTAAAGGGTTGAGTTGGGTTAAGAAGAGAACTGGAACTTTAAGAGAACTTTAAGACAGCCTCTTGTAACTTGTTTTTTGGGGGGTTTTTTTTGGTTTTTTTCTGGTACCAGGAATCGAACGATGACCTTGCGCTTGCCAGCCAGGCGCTGTGCAGCTGAGCTAAATCCCCAGCCCAACCTCTTGTAATTTGTGTAAAGCGCCCTTAGACACTTTATAGAGAGGCTGAGCCAGAGAAGCAAATTTAGGAATCCAGAGGTGAAAGTAGTTTGCCAAACCAAGAAAGGATAAAATCTGTTTTGTGGTTGGGACTTGATGGTCGTGAAGGAGGGCTATGTTGTCAGCAATGATTAAGTGAGTGGTGAGAGGGACAGTAAGCCCCAAATATTTGACCTTTGATGAAGCTATTTGAGCTTTGGCTGGAGAGACCCTATATCCACAATCTGACAGAAAACTGAGGAGAGCAGCTGAGTGTTGTACGGCCAGGGAATGGGAGGGGGAGCAGACAAGGTCATCTACACATTGAAGAAGAATGCTGGGTTTAAGATTGAGAGCCTCGAGATCAGTAGCTAGGGTTTGGCTGAAGAAGTGAGGACTGTCCCTGAACCCTTGAGGCAGGACTGTCCATGTGAGCTATAGGGACCAGAGTATCTGGGTTTGTCCATGTGAAAGCGAGGAAGTCCTGGCAATCAGGGTGTAAGGGGATAGTGAAGAAAGCATCTTTGAGGTCTACAGCCATAAACTGAGTTGTGGATGGGAGAATATACAAGAGCACAGTGTAAGGGTTTGTCACCAAGGGTGAACTGGTGTAACCACGTTGCTGATAACCCTGAGATCTTGGACCAAGCGATAGGAGACATTACGTTTAATTACCAGAATAGGGGTACTATAAGGTGAATGCATAGCTTTAAGGAAACCATCGGCTAGGAGGTACTGAATTATGGGTTTGAGTCCCCTTTGATGTTTGGGGGCTATTGAATATTGAGGAACACAAGGAAAGCTTTACGGGTCTTTGAGGCAAATTAGTACAGGAATGGCATGGGTGGCACGAGTGGGGCTAGAGGTGACCCAGATTACGGGGTTGACAAGGGAAGAAAGGAGGGGCAAAGATGGCAGTGCATGATAAATGAGAGTGAAGGACAACAGCCATGGGGAGAGAGAAAGTGAAAGAGAAATTGAGTTTTTGGAGATCTCTGCCCATGAGAGCTGAGAGACAATTTGGGACAAGGAAGCTGCGAATAAAAAAGTATTTGAAGTCAACAGGGAATGGGGTCCTATCTGGAGGGATCATGTTCATCAACTGTTAATCCCCACGATAGAGACTAGAGATCGGGTGCAATGGCCCAAAAACTCAGGAAGAACACTCTATGTGGCCCTCATGTCAACAAGAAAGGACAGTGTCCTGAGACTTCCAGCTAGACTCAGCTCCGAGAAGGATACCTTAGTGGGGTACGTAGACCCCAAGCCCCATCAATCCTCTTCAGTGGCAATGCCAGGCAGGTCAGCAATCCATAAATCTGGTAGTGGCAGCACAATCTCCTGTGAGGGCAGGGAACTGGATGACTTACTTGCTCTCTGGCAGACAGGGCAGTTGCATTTCAAATGACCCTTGAGACTGCAGCTGGGACAAGACCCCAGTGGTGGCTGCAGGTTGGGGCAGGTTCGTGCCCAGTGTCCTTGGTTGTCACACTTAAAACACGGTCTGGGAGGGGCTCCGGTGATGCCACCTTGTTTGCTTTCTGCTTGTTTACGTTTTTCTGTTTTGGGAAGCCCAAGTGCCACTGGTAAAATATCGTGCTTATATTTAGCAATTCCCAATCTGTCTACCTTTTGTTGAAGATCTCTATTATTGAAGACATGAAAGGCCAGAGCAAGGAGTTCTCCTGGTGGAGACTTAGGGCGGAGCTCAGACTTTTTATTTAAATTTTGCCCAATGTCAGGGGCTGAGATAAAATGGGAGTTGAGAAAGACTATTCCCTCTAGTGACTGGGGATCAACACTGGCATATTTAGTCAAGGTATCTGTGAGGTGATTCAGGAACTCTGCAGGATTCTTATCAGCACATTGTGTTTGTTCTATGAGCTTGTTGAAATTAGTAGGTTTATGAGAAATTTTACGAAGACCCACAATTATACACCCAATCATGGTATTAATTAATACACTGTGAACCATTTTCTCCCTGATAATCTCAGTGCAGGATGGCCAGGGTTAGCATGTCTGTGGTCAGCTCGGGGCCGGCCTGTTCCTGGGACACATAAATTGGGGGCTGGGAAGATGGCAGTGGGCTAGAACATAGTGGACGGTAAGAGGAACAAGATGGTGGGGAACCACAAGATGGCACGGGTGGGAGGAGTAAGACCGAGTATGATGAGTCAGGGGAGAAAATGGTGACAGGGAAAAGGTGGAGTCAGCCGAAGGCAAGAAGAAAATGGGGGATGGTATAAGAACAACAGGCTCAGGAAATGAGGGGGACTGAAGAACAGGCTGAGAAGGATAAAGAAGTTGAGCTGTACGCTAAAGAGGCTGCACAGACTGGGGAAGTTGGTCAGCAAGTAGAAAGAGTTGAGGGGGTTGGGCAAAAGGCTCAGGAGACTGAGGAAGTTGAGCCTGTAGATATGGTGGAGGAGGAGCTTGAAAGCCAGAGAGACATCATCAAGAGGATCAGGAGGGGAATCAGGTAAGGGGTGTGACGTGTGGAATGGGCCTAACAGATTTGGGCTACCCCACACACCTGAACAAGAAAAGGATGTGCCCTAAGAGCAATAAAGGCCTGTACATATGGGATTTCCCACTTGCCACTGCAATAGCAGAAACTGTCTAGGTCTCTGAAGGTATTACAATCAAAGGTACCCTCTTCAGGTGAGTGGCTGCCATTGCTGAGTTTGTACTGAGGCCAAGCCATCTGGCAGTAAAAGGTTAACCATTTTGATTTTACTGCATCTCTGAGACCAAGGGTATATACATTAGCTAAAAGACATTCAAGTGGAGAGTGTTTTTTTGGCTGAGAATTAGTATTCTAATAGTATTCTATATTAGATTAATACTAATACTAATAGTATTAGTATTCTAATTAGTATTCAGTGAAGAATTAGTATTTCCCATTCTGTAACTGAATTAAAGGTGAGCCAAAGGCTAAAAAGCCGAGTCTCACAACCCCTTGAAGGATCATCACATTCAACGGGGTATGAGCAAGCAGGAAGTGCCCAAATCTGTCTTCCCTGGCAGTCACCCAGAAGGACATCCCAAAGGATATAAGAGAGTCCTAACATGGGCCCACAATTTAAAAGAATGATAGAGAATAAGGCAGGAATTCCTGGAGCAAGAAGTGACTCACCTCTGAGAATCGATGTGGACCGGTGTTGGACGAAGGCTGTCAGCAGCAAATGTAGAGGCAAGAGAAATAGAAAAGGTGGCTCATCGCCGGCAGGGGCTCAAAGTAAGTGGGTTAATCCCTAAGCAGCCACATACCCCACCAATCCGAGTCACAACACCAAAATGTTAGGTTTGGCACAAGTGAGACAGAACAAAGATAAAAAGTCTTTATTACCAGGCACAGGAGGGCTACTAAAGAAATAAATGGACCCACTGAAGTGGAAAGCTGGCAATATACTGGGCTGGGTTGGGGGTGGAGTTTACATGGGTGGTCAGAGTAACATAACACGCTGATTGGCATACAAAACAGGAAACAAAGTTGTAATCAGACTGTGGAAAGAAGGGAGAAATTTGTCTGAATGAGACATGTGGTGGTTTTTGAGCACTATGCCATACTGGATCACCACCATGACGACTTGTCAAAATTTTATACTGACAAAAACCCATTAAACACTAAATTTACTCAATTACTCCCTCAAGAAAATGAGAATTGAAGCAAAAGAAACAGCTTTTGTGTTAGAAGCTGCTGGAGCTCGAAACTGGTCAGGACAGGACAGAGCCAGAGGGCCTCAAGCAGTCAAGATACCTCCATCTTGAGAAAGACATCATGCCTGGACATTCAGAGTCAGTAGTCATTAGGCAACATTACTTCTCATGATACTTTGCAAGAGTATAAAATAAACCACTATTAAGGTTAGGTCCTCTTGCCAATCAGGTAAGGGGTCACCTCCACCTGACCCAGTTTTTGTCTCTTGTCTTTATTTTCCTCATACCCACTGTCATTTCTCTCCAGGATACAACAGGAGACCAATCAGGTTCCCTACATTTGGCACCTGAACTGGACACCTGGTGAGAGAAAATAAGTGGGCACTGGGTATGCTTCCCAACAGCACACAATAGAAGAGGGGAAGCGTATTTGTGAAAGCTAGTATTCAGCACAGGAGTGCATGGTACTGGCACATCAGGTGTACAGCATGGGGATACATGTTCTCTAGAGCTAGAAGATAAACAGGCTTCAAAGAAGCCAAAAGAGAAAAGGGTAAGTCCAAGTAGAGGCTCAAGACTCCCAGGGATATGTGTCTATAGAAGTGTTTGTTGCCATGTTTGACTCTTGTATTTAATTTTCTGAATGTTGGTTTGGAGGGGTTTTGTAACCATAAGGAACTTGGCTCAGAACATGGAGGGCAGAGCAATAGTGCCACCAACAGAACCTGAGCCCTCTAGCCTGGTCCAATTTAAGAAGGAAGGAGTAGCAGGGGACAAAAGAGACTTTTCCCCACCAGAGCAGTGTTTCCCAGTGAACTCTGTCTCACAACACTCGATGCAACTGACTGAGCCACAAGTGGCTACCCCAGCCTTTTCAGCTCAGAGAAATTTTACTGCGTCACAGATTGGAACTTCTGTCTCTCAGAGTAGCCATTTTCTCTTATCTCCCTTGCAACTGGCATTAAAGGAAGCCAGAGAGGCCAGGGAGACCATGGAATGTTTTCAGCATATGCACCCTCTAACTGAAGTTCAAGTTCCTGAAAATCTTGGACAAGTTATATGTCATTATGAAGCTATGCCTTTCAAAATCCTAAGAGTTAAAACAAGCTGTTACTAGTTATGACCCTACTGCTCCCTTTACCTTGAGTTTAATGGAAATTCTCAGACAATAGATTATGGCCCCAAATGATTGGAAAGGAATAGCTAAAGCATGTTTAAGTCCTTTCCACTATTTAATATGGAAAGGAAACTTCTTTCAATATTGTACCAACCAGGTGGCTTGTAATGCTATTCACAACACAGCCATTACAAAACATATGCTAATGGGGAAAGGTGCCTTTGCTACCACAATCAATCAAATGGCCTTTGAACTGCCAGCATAGGAACAAACCAAGATGGCCGCCACGAGGGCTTGGAGGGAACTTCCTTCTAACCGGGAGACAGCCCTCAATTGGGCTTCTATTCAACTGGGTGCTGAGGAACCTTTTCAAAATTTTACCTCACGCTTATTGCAGGCTACTGAGAGAATTATAAATAACACAGAAGCCAGCAGAATAATAGTTCAACAGCTAGCCTTTGAAAAGGAGGCTTTAAGAGCCCACAAAAAAACAGAGAGAGATGTGTAGATATTGGAGATGTGTAGACATTGACCCTTCATATGTACAGGGGGCTGCCTTGGCAGCAGCTATTACTCAGGGGTGTCAAGAGTCAGCTATTACTCAGGTTATTTATCCATGGCCTGGAGAAAGGAAAAAAACAAGGCTGTTTGTTTTTGTTGTGGATGTAAGGGGCACCTTGTCTGGAACTGCTCTGCTACATCTGTAAGGGCAGCACAGCCATTACCTGTCTCTTCAACTAGTAGTTAAGTGTCAACAAGGGTATCACTGGAATAATCAGTGTAGCTCTAGAACTGTTGGGAAAAGTCTGCCCTTTCTGGGAAACTCTCACTGGAGATTGCCTCAGCCACATCAAGTAATGGAGTCCACCCAGATGGCTGTGGTGTTGGGCACATTCCAGTACTCTGTGTATTCCCTCCTATCTCTTCCCCTACCCACCGGATGCCAAGGGTTGACGGACAAAACCCTCCTGCTTCATTCTCCTCTTCTACCATGCTCCTATCGCACATGAGCCCAGGCTTCAGGTCATGCCCCTGTAGGCCTAGCTGCCATGACATGGGGGTGAAAGTAGTCCCACACTGCAACCCATCAGCAGTGTGTGCTCAGGTGGTATATGCCACCGTGCACAGCCCAGGACCCAAGAGACCTGGCTGCCCCCAAGCACTTCCCACACTCCTTCACTGGGTGCTCCCCTGTGTGACCCCACTGCCTCACTGGCTGCCCGGAGGAAGCCCCAACATGCATGCAGGACCATATGGCACCGAAGAACAAGAGGGCAGCAAGGATGGCATCCCCACCACCAAGGGCCAGACAGGAATGGCAGGAGGCTCAAACTGGCAAGGCAGCCCCACAGCCTGCGCAGCAGAAGCTGGGGCTGCCCCTGGTGGGGGAAGGGCTGGGGATGATAGAGATACAACCATCACCATGTAGGAAAAATTGCCACTGGGCCCTGAGCCAAGCAAGAAGCACTCGTGCTTCCAACAGAAATATGGCTATTATCACTACAAGGACTGCAACATCCACTGGGAGTACGCATTCATTTGGTGTGTCCAGGGCACAAGCAAGGTTTACTTTAAACAATTTTGCAGAATGTGTTAAAAATCTTACAACCCTTACCAAGTGAAAGATATCACCTGTCAAAGTTGTAAAAGAACTACATGTTCCTGCCCCGTAAGATTTTGCCATGTGGACCCCAAACTCTCCCATCATCAAGAACTGTGCGAGAGATGCAGAGGCAGGTGCCTGTCCAGTGACAGCACCAGTGCTTAGAATCCTGGTAAAAATAGAGTATCCAGCAAAAGCAACAGCCAGCATGCACAGAGGCTGGACACATCCTCTGTGGCTACAGAGGCAGTTTAACCACAGAGCCACTTGCGGGAGGGGTGGGGGGCGCAGGCAGTAGAGCCCATTCCCGAGAATAAGGCAGGACTGCTGGGGCCCTGCCAGCAACTTGCTTAGTCCCAAGGCAATAAAATGAAAGCCGCAGCCAGTTACTGCCACAGTCTGAAGTGTCAGCACTGCTCTGCCCAAGGCTGTGACTGGGGGCTGCCACCTCCTTGGGAGCCAAGGTCTCCCGCCTCCCTGCTTGCGGCCACTCCCATTCCCCTGCCCACAGCACCCTTCCCCCAGCTCACTGCTGCTCTGGTCTGAGTGCTACAGGTCACACTGAGGTGCCAGATAGAACAGGGAACAAAGAGGCCAAGGCCTGGAGTAGGGATGGAAGAGGTTGCCCAGGGAGAAGCTGGCAAAAGACTAAAGCTAGGCAGGCACAGGGAGGGTGACATGGACAGGAATGAGGACCTTTGGGGACACGCAGGAAACCTCAGTCAAGAAGCAAAGGAGGAGATGGTTGTGGAGGCTGGCAAGTCAGTGCGGAAATGGGGCCTGAGAAGACCCAGACAGCCAGAGGACCTTCCAGTGGTGGCTAGCCAGTGCCCAGGCCCCAGGGAGGAAGGCTACAGCCACACTAGCTGGCACTGTACCTTGTGGCACCACATATGGCAAGGGCAACAGCAGGGCTAGGAGGGTGATACAGGGATTGAGTGGCTGGCAACCAAGGCCTGGGTGACCCAGAAGTTGGTGGGACTTGGCAGTGACAATGGGGAGCAGGAAGCAAGGGCTAAGCTCGTTACCTTTGTGGTAAGCATCTCTGAGGCAGAGGGGATACTCATCCTCACCCTGCTGCAGGACATAAAGGACCTCTTCCCTGAGCTCTATGGCTTCCTGCAGGACTTTGTGCCCCAGGCACAAGACAATAAAGCAATAAGCTGCTGCTTAGTGTTGACACCTGCCAAGGACTGTCCAGGTGTGAGCAGCTTTATACTAACATGACTCTAGGCAGTAGCTAAGGGGGAGAAGATTCCCTCTCACATCAACCTGACCCAGCAAAAAAAAAAAAGGTAATCTGGGGTCCAGAATATGTTTGTGTTTTGCTAAAGCATGCTGTCCAACTGTATCATGAACTTAAACCTGGGGAAGTTCACAACAATGAGGCTAGATTTGATCTGGGGCCTATTGAAAAAACTGACAAAATGGAAATCCAAGGTCTAAATATGCAATAGAGTATATAGATAACCGAGCTGAAAGTTATCAATATTAAGACAAAATAAGCTATAAAAAACACATATTCATTATAAATAAAAAATTCTAATCCTTCCAAAATTTTTCTGATGAGATCTCTGCTAATTGATTACAAAATCTGACTAGTCTATTTAAATTACAAATTTCTAGAATTGTCATAGATTTACTATAATCCAATGTGGTCAAAAAGGTTTGAGTGCACTGTGGATTTGTAAAGATGTTTGCTCTGTGTCCTTGTTTATATGTTTGTCTGTCATTGTGTGAACAGCTGTTCCCTTTTTTGAGCTCGACAATTTTCCCTTTATCATTTGTTCATAATACAACTTGGGTTACAGACTTAAAAGCATGTGTTCACCTGAGCTACCAGCTGGTTTAAATGATATCAAAACTGGCTTTCTTACAGCTCATCAAAATTAAGGTACTTTCCCACAAGTCCTTAGGGTGGGAGAAATTTTTGGGTAGGACTCCCATTGGTGAATAGAGGAGTGGCCAACTTTATTCATTAACAAGGAGCCCTCAATGATCTTGATAGTCTCTTGGGAGACACGCCAATAATTTGGTCATTTGGCAAAAGTTATTCAGTAAAAATTACAGTAAGGTTTTCTCATGAAATATGCTCTTGGCACAAAACTAAATTAAGAAACAAAGGTTTTCATGTGTATGGTAATTCATTCTCATTAATCTCATGGTGTATTAAATGTATTCATGATTCCAGATGTACAGGTCTTCCAAAATGTACAACAAAGACTGTTTATTGTAATAAGGTTTTCCTACAGACTCAGAACTTCGCCAAAAACTTGTCATGTATATCCCATTAAAGGACAATAAATTAGGTTAAGTTTCTTATGTACTAGATAGAGATGATTGGTTAATAGGGTCATGTTATCTCAAAATGAAAAATTAGGTATGTTACAAAATGTCATCCTGATTGTCATGTAGCAAAGTTATGCATGGTTTTGATTTTTAAATGTCTGTGTAAAAACATGTAACTGTTGTTTGTTAACATTCTATTAAGATTTAAAAATTAGGACATCCATGGTTGTTAAAAAATAACTTCTATTTTATGTTCTAAGTTGTTTGCTATTCACATTAGATAATACTAAGCTTATTGCCTCCATTACAATTAATCATCTCCGCTGGATGTTTAACAGCTGAGGTTTAGAGACCAAAAATTAGACAAACTGGGCTAAGAGGATGGCCAATATTTTAGCCTTAGCCCTGCGAGGTCAATGGAGACTCAGGACCTAAGAGAACCTCTATTGCTACTTCCTAATAACTCAGCAGAGTCCCTGATTTTCTGATCAAGGAGATTATACACAGTGGAAAGTAATTCCACAATGTATAGTGTGCCTAAGGAGAGTCACCAGGAGAGAAAAAAAAAATCTCTCAAGCTTTCATAGAAAGCAAGTTGATCAAGCAATGGCCAGGACTCATCCAGGTGGCTGACGCTGACAGACGACCTAAGAGTGCTGTACTTGGTTCCAAGATGACTCCTTAGGAGACTTAACTGACTTTGATAGATAGCAAGAAGTTAATCTTTATTTATAAAGGCCTCACTTTAACGTGGTCTTAAATATCCACCCAAAAAGTGTAACCACAAGATGTATAAAAGCAATGTGACAGTAATGTGTTGGCTGTAAAAGGTTCAAATCACTAACAACTTTTAACAATTGCCAGCTAAACTATATAGGGTTAAATTGCTTTATACAGGTACCTAAAATCTTTGCACTAAAAATCTTTAGCCTAAATGAGTAAGTTCATCGAAAATGAAAAGATTTTCTACAGAGTTCTCCAAGCACAGCTTCTCCAACTCCAACTGAACACGTATCACTTCCGCAACCAAACAGAAAAGGGAGATACATTGGGGGCTGCTGGAGCTGGAAATTGGTCATATATGTGAGGGCAGGACAGAGCTGGAGGGCCTCAAGCAGTCAAGATACCTCCATTTTGAGAAAGACAACCTGACAGGACAATTACAGTCATCAGTCGCTAAGCAACATTACATTTCTTGATATTAACTTTGCAAGGGTATAAAATAAACACCCCTATTGTTGAGGTTAGGTCCTCTTGCCAATCAGGTAAGGAGTCACCTCCACCTGAACCACCTCTTGTATCTTGTCTTTATTTTCCTCATACTCACCACCGTTTCTCTCAGGGGTACAAGTGGAGACCAAAGAGGTTCCTTACACTTTTGAAAATGAGAAGGGAAAGAAGAGTTAAAGTGAGGGGAAGGAAATGGAAAAAAATTAAAATATATTATGTACAGGTACAAACTCTTGATGATAAATGTGTTCATTACTTATGGCAAACATGTATTAATAGTAATTTTTTAAAAATTACTCCTTACGGAACAGGTATGGTGGTACATGGTGAAGGAGGATCACAGTATGTTGAGCCCTGGGTTAGTAAGTTCAAGGTCAGCCTGAACTATATACCAAGATTGTCTCAAAAAAAAAAAAAATATTACTCCCCCGGCAGGGGATAAATATGGCTCAGTGGCACAGCGCCTGCCTTATAAGCGCTGATCCTGAGTTTGATTTCCGGTATCAAAAAACAAAAGAAAACAACAAAAAAATTACCCCCTAAAAATTCTTCTATTGCCAGGCATGTAATCCCAGCACTCTAGAGGCTGAGGCAGGGAGATCACCTCAAGTATGAGGCCCGTCTAAGGTACATAGTGAGTTGAAGACCAGTGTGGTGAAACCCTGCTTTAAAAAAAAAAAAAAAAAAAAAACAATTATTTCTTGCTCATTTAACTATTTCATCATTTGTAATTAATCGAGTATTTCCTATGCTTAAAAAACAGGATCACCTCAGGTGATTCCAACGCCAAACGTCTTCCACCTCAAGAAGTTCTGACAAAATAAAAGCTCAAACAAACATTTCAGCATGACATATACTTCTCTGAACTCACCTCTTCTTCCTCTATAATACCAATCTCCTATTTGTGAGTCTATCCCATCCCACCCTCTATAATAAAAAACCTAATGGACCATCTAAAATTATGCTTAAAATGCATTTCTCGCCCTACTTCATAAAACTCCTATGAATCCTTAAAATCCCAATTTTAGTATCACTTCTCTTCGGAGACATTTTCGTGTTTTGTTTGTTTCTCCCTGGGCGTCCTTTTCTGACCAACCACAAAATTCTTCCATTTCTCCTTTGTATCTCCACCCTGAAGCCCCTCTAACTGTACAATCTACAGTACCCACCTTATAAAGGTAAGGACATAATATGAAGCAGTTACATAACACAAGTGAATGCTCAATAAATTTTAATCACTTATTACCCCGCTAGTTTGCAATCACCTGTACAATCTTCCTTGGTGGACTATGAGGAGCAGAGAACAGAAGTCCACATATTTGTCATTTTACCAATCTCAACGACGCATTAAACAGTAAGAAATGCTGATAAAACTAATGACCAATATCCCAAATCTAGAACAAGATGGCTTTCTTTGGTACGTGGGTCCTTCGTGTTAAAAGAAAATTTACAGAAGCCAGGCCTTCTGGTGAGTGCCTGCGAGGAGCACGCTCGGAGGCTGAAGTAGGACGACCACCAGTTGGAGCCCCGCGGGGGCGTCTCAGCAGGAATGCGAAATGAAATGAACATGAAACGGGCTGGGAGCGCAGCGTCAGCGTGAGGGCCCCGGGCCCAACACCGAGTTTGGGGTAGTCAGGCACAGAAATGAAGCACGCACCCTTCCTTTTCGATGCGGCTGAGTGCGGGGAGAGCCGGCAGTCTTCACAAGCTTACGCACAGTCGGGCCCCAGGCGGAGCACGGCGGCGCGCGCCGCAGACGGCAGCCCACCGCTCTCAGGGGGAGAGGAAGCCCGCTCCGCCCCGACCCCAGACGTCGTCGGACGCGACCGAAGCTCCCACCTCCGCACGAGGAAACGTCCCCGCTCCCTCGGCACGACGCACCCGCTTCCCCGCAGGCCGGGGTGTCGAGCGCGCCGGAGGTCCGGGCCAGGGACCCGGAGACGGCGGCAGGCGGAGCTCGCCCGCCCGAGGACCCGCGCTCTCCGCACTCGGCGGGCG